AACTAGGAAGCCTAGTCCGAACTACCTAGTTCGTGCCCCGTGTAGCCGCGCTGCACGGGGTTCGAACCAGCGGGGTTTTAAAAATGGCGGCTCCCCGCTTATGCAAATGAAGCCCGGGAAATTCAAATCTCGGGCTTCATTTGCAAGTGTGGTATGCCTACATTACCCCACTAGTTCGAACTAGCGGGGTAGTGTAGACATACCCACAACTACTACTGTAGCAGTGGCCGGTGCCCTGGGCAAGTTAAATCACTGCTAGAGTACCAGGCAATGCTGAAGGGCCAGTGGGGGGAGGTTAGCCCTAGCCCCGCCCTTTCCACCTAAGGCCCCACCCCTTCTGGGATCGCAGAGCCGGCCTCCCTGCAAACATGCAGGTGTTGCTTCTTCTATTAAGAACCAGAAAGAATTTATGTATATTATTTGACGTACATTGCTTGGACCCTTTCCAGCTGAATCCTGTGGATGGGCCAGTGTTTAGCATACAATTCAGAAGAGTACTCGCCAGCTGAGAGAGGAAGAATGAACCAGTGGTTAAGATCCAAGCAGAAGGGTTGGGAAACCCAGGTTCAGTTATTTGCTCCCCACCCTTCCCAGACTTCCTATGTGATTTTGGGCATGTCATTTAGTCTCCTTTAGTTTTGCCATGTGTAAAATGGGGATATAGAATTTTCTAGCTCATAAGCAGGCAGTGAGGTTAAATACATTAATAATTGTGAAGAGGTCAGATTCCATGATTAAGGGACCATGTCAGTATCTAAGATGTAGCTAGATAGCATTAAAATGTTATATTGGGAAATCAAATGGCCTGTGCATTACAGAACAAATAAATAACTGGGAGTTTATAGTCCAGGTGATTTGTAGTGTGAGACCAGGTTGCAGAATGGGAGAAATTTTGGCTGAAGGCCAGCATAAATCAGTCAAGCACATTAAGTGAAATTCATTCCCATGGAAATGGTCTGCATTTAAGGCAGATCCTCAGTAACTGGAAGATCTAGTTCTGTACAAAGCCTTGCTTAATCTCTCTGGATTTTGTTGCATCTCGCCCCAAAAGTATATTGGTCCTGTTTCAGGTGTTACAGTGAATATGTGGTAAAACATCTGAAAAAAGATTGATGCGTTAAAATATAACTTGATTTTTCTTATCTTCAGTCAAGAAGGGAAACAAAAGAATTCCAGGGACTGATTCACCCACTGCTCTAGTAATAAATTGGTGCAGAAACTGTAAAATCATTGTTGTTACACCATCAGATATCTAAAGCAATCATTTGATGGATCAGGTCTACTATCAATATAGTCATTGGTTTACTCAAAATAGGGAACTTTCTTTTATTACAATTGGGAAAAATATTGCTTCATTCTTTCATTTTAGACTATTATCCAGTGGTCACCATTCCAGCAGGAGCACGTAGTATTGAAATCCAGGAAATGAACCTCTCCACGAGCTATCTTGCAGTGCGCAACCTGAATAAGAAGTATTATCTAACAGGGGACTGGACAATTGACTGGCCGGGAAAGTTCTCCTTTGCTGGGACAATTTTTGATTATCAGCGCTCTTTTAATCATCCAGAGAGACTATATGCAGCAGGGCCAACGAATGAGACCTTAGTCTTTGAAGTAAGCTTTCTTCTGCTTATTCTTTCATTGATGTCTATTACAGAACGACAGCTTTAGCTCAGTGCTGTAGCTCTCAGACAGATTAAAGAATAGCATTGAGTCATGGTACTATTCAGACATAATTGTATAGTCATGCTAGACTGAAAGGCCTTTCACCAGTTTGTCGAGGTCTGCGATTTAGTAAACTGTCGCAAGACTAGTGAAAAGCAAAATGTGTAAAACACACTACACAGCGTGATTTCTCAGTTGCCACACAATCGTAATGGAGATTATAGCTTCATTCAATAAATGTTACACAATAAAATTCAGTGATGTGCAAGTTAAATACCAAACAGCTTGGTAAAGCTTAAGAGCCACATTTTCAAATATTACCTCTGAAACTATATACACATACAGGCTGCTGTCCATGCAGATTAGGACATTGATTGTCTAAACACTACTCATGGGTGCCTAGGCAATCTCTATTCATGCCGTTTTGTGGCTAAAACTATGTGGAACCAAGGGAAAAAAAGATTTTTCACAGTCAAGTCACAGTGACCTGGTCAGTGTGCCATGTGTTCTGAGTCAGAGATCTGTGCAGCAGAAAATAAACTGAGTGCTCATATTGTTTGGCTTGGTTTCCTTTAAGGGTTGCAGCACTTTTGTTCTTGGTAAGGAAAATCCCTTCCCTACTGAGTTGCTTTACCAAACTTTCCTTTAATGTGTCCCAGAACACTTGATGGCCAACTGCTAGTTGATGATGAGAACAGAGGTCCTAGCAAACATGATTTTACCTCTTTCACTGGAAATCACTGGCCAGACTCTAGAACCTCTAGTTTGTCCATTTGGCATGTTTTGACTCATTTTTTCACTGTCAGAATGGGGAAGCAACTCTTCCCCTGAGGGAATTCAGCTCTTTCCCACCCCATGTACTAGTGCTCAGATTAGATAACTGCCAAATGCATAATTTTGCCCTCAATGCACATGTGGAGGATGATGTTCAGTGTTAAGAACATAAGAATGGCCATACTGGGTCAGACCAAAGGTCCATCCAGCCCAGTATCCTGTCCTCTGACAGTGGCCAATATCGGATGCCCCAGATGGAAGGAACACAACAGGTAATCCTCATGTGAACTCTCCCCTGTCACCTACCTCCAGAGAAACAGAGGATAGGGACACCATTCCTACTCATCCTGGCTAATGGCCATTGATGGACCTAACCTCTATGAATCTATCTATAAGGCTACGTCTAGACTGCAAGCCTCTTTCGAAAGAGGCTTTTTCAAAAGATACTTTTGAAAAAGCCTCTTTCGAAAAAGAGCGTCTAGACTGCAAGCGGAACTTTCGAAAAAGCAAGCCGCTTTTTCGAAAGAGAGCACCCAGGCAGTCTGGATGCTCTCTTTCGAAAAAGCCCTGTTTGCATTCAAGAACGCCTTTTTTCGAAAGAGCACTTTAGAAAAAAGGCATTCTTCCTCGTGATATGAGGTTTTCCGCGTCGAAAGAAAAGCCGTGTTCTTTCGATTTAATTTCGAAAAAACGCGGCTCTAGTCTAGACGCAGGGGAAGTTTTTTCGAAAAAAAGGCTACACTTGTCCAGCTAGGGGGTGGAGGGGGGGCAGAGGAGAAGGGCGTGGCGAGGGGCGAAACCCTCCGCTGTTTTGCAGGGAGGCGGGGGAAGCCCCGCGCAACTGCTGGAGACAGGCCAGCTGGGGCTGCAAGCGGCACTGGCAGACTTGGGGAAGCGGCAGGGCAGAGTAGCTGGGGTGCTGCCAGGATGGTCCCACAGTGCCGCCCCTCACCCCTCGCCGTGCCGTTCCCCGCTGACCCCCTCAACCACTGCCAACCCGTCACAGCCCCCCAGTGGAGTACCTCCTGATACTCCGGCATATCCGATAATCCGGCACCCCTGGCTACCAAAGGTGCCAGATTATCGGAAGTCTACTGTACATACAAAATATTTGCAATTTTGAAAA